TTCGAGTCAAATCCCTTAGTTGAAGGTCGCTCTTTTGGTAGGAGGTGAATCCCTTAGTTGAGAGCGAGTCTCTCAGTTGAAGGCAACTCCTTTAATAGGAGGTGAGTCCCTCAATCGAGGGTGGGTCACTACTTGTCATTGGTTTGCGGAAGATGTCAAATATCACTCGAATGACCCTAGAGATGTCAAAACGTCAGTCCATTATGAAAGCTTGAATGCTTAGTGGGAAAGGAGTGTGTGTGGCATTTAACGCAAAATATGATGATTTTCGTGGGAGGATAGGTAAGCAGGTATAAGCCACCAATCTTCACCAGGGTATGGTTTCCCTGTATGATACAATCAGTAGAGTTGAAAATTAAATTGCATTTACGGGAAAAGTAAGTTTAGGAACAAAGATTAAATTGGTATTAAAACCAATAATATAAAGAACATCATGTAAATAGAAATCATTTGTGAAGATGACAGTCTGAGAAAGACAAACTTGAGTGGTGGCTCCACTAGGGAGTCAAATATTAATGGATTTGATTTCCCTTAAGTGTGAAAAAAAATATGGAATGATAGACATGGTCTCTGGCCCTAGTATCTAAAATTCATTATGAGGAATTATTAGTATGTAAAGAAGGGACAAAAACAAAATTACCCGATGGAAGGTTGAAGGTTGAATTCAGAAGATGAATAATGGACTTTAAGGAATTGTATTTTATTAAATAAGAGCAAGAATAAATTTTTTATGATCTAGAGTGAAGCCTATTTTGTTCCGATTGTTAAGCTCCTTTATCAAATGAAAAAAAAACCTTGAGAATCATTTGGGACATTTTCTTCGCTTGAAACTTGAGTTATGTTAGGCTTTTTAAGATATGAGGGAGATTCATGTTTCTTGAAGCAAACTTCAATTGTATGGTCATTTTTGTTGCATTATGAATAGATTTTAAAGCCCGTTCCTCTACCGGTGTTGAAATTTCTTTCTCTATTATCAGTTGGACAACCTTTAAAATAGAGCTTGTTCATGTTAGCAACGAGATTGTCTTCATTCAGAGGTGTCAATTGTTGACGTTCTTGTTGAATTCTTAGTGAAAAGGCCTTGTTGATAAGAGGTAGAGGTTGCATAACATAATTTGGGAATGAACTAATGCATATTGTTCATGTAATCCCTTGAGGAATCAAATAACATGGTCACTCTAATGGTAATTCTTGATTGCGAGAATAAGTTAACTTTTTTAGAGTGGCGAAGTATTGTGCTATCATTTTCATTGCTTGAGAGAATATATTTCTTCATGTAGGTCTAAAATATGAAACATACCCTCTTATAATATCTATCGTGAAGCTCTTGCAAAATTTCTTAAGTCGTGTCCATCCGCATAAGACTTTACGGAAAATCATTCTCAATATAGTTAGTCAACCACACCATGATCATGGTGTTGCATCGATCTCAAGTCATAGGGATGCGAATTAGGGTTTTGTCTACAAACTCTAATTTATTCATAGAACGAAGAGTTATTTTCACTGATATTGACCAAGAATAAAAGTTAAAGTTTTTGAGGGAAGGAGTGACAATAGGGATCCCAAGATTATCATTGCGATGCATGAAAAAGGGGTCAAACATATCGGTCTAGTAGTTTTTTTTTTGGTAGGATTTGTGTTTGAGGTGGTGGTTGTGATATTTTAAGTGGTGGTAGAAACAATGAGTTGGGGTTCTGAGAGACATGGTGATGGGGACGTTGGAGAAGGATTTTCCCCATCAATGATATCATCAAAGAAGAAAGAAAAGTCTCTTGTAGGTTAAAGAAAGAAAAAGAAAACGAAAAAGCAAAGAAGAAAGAAAAGTTTCTTATAAAGATAAAGAAACAAAAGACTAAAATGAAATAGGATTTTTTTATTGCTGAATGAAATGCAATAGGAGGCAAGGATGCAATCTAAAATAATATGAAATCGTTGATATGCTGAGATATGCTTATTAGAGCAATCATTTTTCTAATACCATATTAAATCATTGGCAAAGAAAACATAAATGCACTTGTACATTAAAAAAATTAATGTAAAAATAAAGGGAGAATTATATACATTAATCTCAAGTCTTTACACAGGAAATTTTACCCCATACCTCTACAATTATACACATACTCTTACACTAAATTTTTTTGGACCAAAGTACCCTCGCATAAATAATTATAATTTTTTTCGTTTGTTCACCGAAAGTCTTTTTGCAAGTCTTCCGGTTTATATTTTTTTTTTCGTTTATTTACCGGAAGTCCTTTTGCAAGTCTTCCGGTTCACTTTTTTTTTCGTTTGTTCACCGGAAGACATTTTGCAAGTCCTCCAGTTCATGTTTTTTTTTATATTTTTAATTTTTTTTAATATTCAACTAGACAAAAGATAATATTAATCAAATAGTTCCAAACTTCTTTAGATTTCTCCTTCTAATTCATTAGAGTGCTGATCCTCTTGCAATTCTACATGTGTAATTGTTTCAATATTTTTCATGCCTACTTATTTTTACAACATTGTGATCTTACTTAACTTCCATTTTATTCCTAGATAAAGAATCAAGCGTAGGTCTGCATAGAAGAATTCAGATTTTTGTCTATGGTTAAAGTTTTGTTCATTTAACATGATATTTTTGCAGATGAAGATGTTTTCGACTTTCACTAACAAATAATACATTCTATTTTATGATAAAGTTTCTACTGCAATTGTAGGAGAGACTGTTGTGCAATCTTTAAATTTTGATCTATAAAAAGGAGTTTTTGAAGCTTGTTCAAAAAGCTTTGAGAGATATCGAGGTTGAGGAGAGAAGTGATTTTGTGATTAAAGAGAAGGTAAAGCAGCTGAAAGTTTTTCTCAAGAATTAAACTTTTTATATTTTTGGGAGGAAGAATTTGGAGGTGGAGGAGAGTCTGCTTGTTTTTTTAAAATAAATAACATATTAAAATATTTGTCTAGTTGAATATTAAAAAAAATTAAAAATTAAAAAAAAAACATGAACCGGAAGACTTGCAAAAAGTCTTCCGGTAAACAAACAAAAAAATATGAACCGGAAGACTTGCAAAAAGACTTCCGGTGGACAAACGAAAAAAAAATATAAACCGAAAGACTTACAAAAAGACTTCCGGTGAACAAACGAAAAAAAATATGAACCGGAAGACTTGCAAAAAGATTTCCGGTGAACAAACAAAAAAAAAATATAAACCGAAAGATTTGCAAAAAGACTTCCGATGAACAAACGAAAAAAATATGAACCGGAAGACATACTAAGTCTTCCGGTGAACAAACGAAAAAAATTATAATTATTTATACGAGAGTATTTTGGTCCAAAAAAATTTAATGTATGGTATGAGTATAATTGTAAGAGTATGAGATAAAATTTCTCTTTACACGCTAATTGAAAAGTATATAGGCCCAAATATACCGAATTAGTTAGAGTAGAAATTTCTAACAAATAACAAACTAAATTAACAACTAATTAAATAAAAATATGTGGACTATTAAATTTTATATTTTCTTTGTTTCTTTTTAAGGATTATTATTATTATTTTTTTTAATCATCACTTGTAAAATTTAAGATAATATTAAATGAATTTTTGTCAAAATTCTTTTTAAATAATTATTACAGACAGAAAAAAAATAAAATAAATATATTACATAATTAAGGATATTATAGATAAAAAAAAATTATTGTATGAAAAATAATAGTATTGATTAACTTTTTTTTGATATCTGTAAAAAAAATTAAAAGTGACATCTAAAAAAAACTTAGAGAATAATTTTTAACAATTTTTGATCAATTTCCCAGCGTTAAAGTCAAACTAAAAGTTATTGAAGTTGAATCAATGAATAATTAAAAGTTAATAAATAAAATTATAAATTACTCCTAACAAATAAAAAAAAGAAATTAACAGTAAAATGAGACCCTTAAATTTAAGAAGTTGAATCATATTTTTTTTTTTAAAAATGAGATCCTTAAATTTTGAAGCCTTTCTAATTAATGGATATTTGGGTGACTATCGAGTGGTGGGAATTCCAATTCTATATCATTCTTTTAATGGATCTCATTTAAATGGACTAAAATTAGCATTTTATTTAAAAAAAAAAAAAGTGAGGATATAATCCAAAAATAGCACTTTATTAAATTAAAAAAGTGATAATAAAATGATTATTAAATACACATACTAGATCATGTGTAAATTAATATTGAAGTTGAAAGCTGAATTTATGTCAACAGAGAGTGAACGTTGTATTAAAAGCTATCCTTACTTCATTAAAAATATAAGACATATTAATGAAAACCTCATTTATATATTTATAAAAATGTGAAATAATATTCTTATTCATAAAATGTACAATTTTTAATAGTTACCGTGACTCAGTGTTTACAAATAAAAAAACATATTTTGCTTAACAATATGAAAATAGTGAGAATAAAATATAAAAGAATTAAATATAATTAAACATGACAATATAACTCATACATGCTGATACATATTTGAATCCGTTCAAAGTTGATGAAAAAACCCATTTTAATTCATTTTAGATTCAGATTTATGTTTTTCCAATTAAAAAACATGGGAACATGTCCGATAATGAGACATTATCATTCACTCTAAATCTGTCTCCGAATTCACCATGTTTATTTTATTATCTACATTATTATTTAATTTTGTTAATTTAAATATTAAATATGTGGTCAATATTTTGATATTTTAATTTAATATTTTAAAAAATAATAATTATTTATTAAAATAATAAAAGTGCCACCGCATAAGACAGATGGCAAAGGAGAAAAGGCCATGTAAAATAATGCAATGATAGGCAGTGAAGCCCAGTCAAGTCAAACCCACAACACTTGACCCATTGCCTTTTCAACGGTCAAACTTCAACTTCTCACAACTAGCTTCAAACACTTTGCTCACCACAACATATCAATCATATAAATATAACACCATCAACTTTATAATCATACACACTCCAAACCTTTTCAACAAACAACCTCAATTTTCTCAACTATGTCTTTTAGTTTCAACAACAACCACCTTTTCAACAACAACAATAACCTTACCACAACCTTTGATATTGCTAAACTTGTTGGAACTTCTCCTCAACTCAAAACTCATGATGATCATGTTAATTTTGAACTTGATCAAGTAATTTATAACACTTCTTATTCTGATTTTCCACCTGGCTTTAGTCCTTCAGAGTTGTTGAACTCACCTTCCTTTCTTTCTCATTCCAATAATGTATGTTACACTCTCACTTGTTATAATTTATATTAGGGTCTTGAATTTGAATGTCTTTTAAATTCGCAACAATATTAAATATTTTTAAATGGAGTTTTTATGTTTATTGTAGTTCTATCTGATTTGAGGGATTAATCTCTTGCGCGTGCAGATGATATCTAGGTTCTATAAAAAAAATTACCAGTCTTAATCACAATTTTAAATTGCACTAACACAAATTTTTATATCGAACAAAATATGTGTCATATAGTCGAAATTGTTGATATATTGATGCAGAGACAAAAAATTATTTAAAACCATAATCATAGTCATGAAAAATCACATTCATATGTAACTTATGTATGTGACCTAAATTGCGGTTACATTGAAGTTGCATTATAATCGCAGAGACATCAAAAGTTTTGGTGTTCCGCATCATACCTCCTGATTTTTTTTGTTAAACTAGTATTGGTTTGTTTTGATGTTCCGCGTCATACCTCCCGATTTTTTTGGTTAAACTAGTGTTGGTTTTGGATCCTACCTAATAGTATTTTTTATATGATTCTTTTAGATTCCTTCATTTTATACAACCGAGCCTCCTTGTGGCCAAATCATCAACCAACAACATAGCATGGACCTAGAAGATAGAAACTTCTCTGAGCTATCTTTTCAAACACAAAAACAAAACTTGCATGAACCTTTTCAATCTTCAACAACTATGTATCAAGTGGTAAGTTTTTTTTTTTTTTTCTCTTATTATTTCATTTAGTTAACTTTTCTTTAATCTTGTCATTAACTAATGCCTCTTCAACTTCAACAGGAGGAACCAATAAAGAAACATGACACATTGACATTCAATGAAACAAATGTTTCTATGTCTATTAAAGAACAAAAAAGATCAGAAGAAGATGGATACAAATGGAGAAAATATGGAGAGAAACAAGTGAAAGGAAGTGAAAATCCAAGAAGTTATTACAAGTGCACTAATCCAATTTGCTTGATGAGGAAGAAAGTTGAAAGGTCTTTGGAGGGGCATGTTACTGAAATAGTGTATAAGGGGAGTCATAACCATCCTAAGCCTCATTGTACAAAGAGAAAAACAAGTTCTCAACCTTTTTCATCAAGCAACAATTCATTGATCTCTGATCATTCTTTCGGAGAGGACGAATTTGAGCAAACATCGCAAACTAGTTTTTCGGGAGGAGATCACAATGAGTTGGGAATCGAGGCTAAAAGATGGTAAGATCAAAAAATTATACGCCGGTTACTCTATTTACTTGACGTTGAATCGAGATCAGACGGTTTAGATTTCAGACTTGGTTTTCGTAATACTAATTTATAATTTTTATTATTGTAGGAAGGGAGAGAAAGAAAATGAAAATGAAAGCTGTTGTTATTCCAATGAACAAAGTAGAACTGTTAGAGAAGCTAGAGTTGTGGTTCAAACTACAAGTGAAATTGATATTCTTGATGATGGATATAGATGGAGAAAATATGGACAAAAAGTGGTTAAAGGAAATCCAAATCCAAGGTACTTATAATTTATGTTATAACATCGAATCGATATCTTACATATATATTGTTCAACACTGACCTTGAAAAAGTGTATCTGATGTGTTACATGTGTAACTGTCAACACTGACCTTAAATATATTAATGTTATAACATCGAATTGAAAATATGTCTGATGTCTTATATGTGTCAGTGTTTTGAACTCTGATCTCAAAAATATTGTTTATGCAGGAGTTACTACAAATGTGTAATCCAAGATTGTCCTGTGAGAAAACATGTTGAGAGAGCAGCACATGATATGAAAGCAGTAATCACAACATATGAAGGGAAACATAACCATGAAGTGCCTCTAGGAAGAGGAAGTTCAAGCTATAACATGAACAAAACATCTCTTAATAACAACAACAACAGCACATGTAATGTAACCCCTATAAGGCCTTCACCAGTGACTATATCAAATTTCACAAATTCAACTCTTGATTCAAAGCTACCAAATTCTGGAACTCAAGTACAACCTTTTCAGCTAGACATGATGCTGAACTCTACAACCCTTTTGGACAAATCAATCGGTTCGAATGCCGATTATGAACGATACTCCTAACTCATTCCTTCAATCTTAACATTATTCGTCTCTAAGAATCCTTTGCAGTTATTCAGTCGATGTAAACAAATCTTATCATTTAGATTTTGCTACACAGATTAAATAATTGCAAGGGATTTGTGTTTTACATATCATTGATATGTTTTTGTATATTATATAGAATAGGAAGTAACAAGCATATACTAATTTAGCTCAATCTAAGAATAACAAATTTATAAAATTTGTTAGATGACTAATTCTATTATTATTTTGTTGTATTTGTTTAGCATGAAATAAAATATTTATTTTGCTGAGTCTTTTACATTGCAGTCAATTACTCTCTAGGACTATGTGTATGTCATGCAATTTCAACTGTCCTCAACACTAGCTATGCTTTATTTGACAGATTCAAACAGGGTATTAATTAAAATTGAAACCATTGTAATTAAAACTGTAGCAATTAACTTCGATCTGGATAGGTCTGTTTCTCTCACGAAAGGTAACATTAACAACTATAAGTCTAGTAGACTAGTTGTTGCAAATAAGACTGCTGACAAAGCCTATGGAATACCAAGTGTTGAAGTATGTTTTAAAATTTTAAAATCATGATAATAGAATAAATATATTTTAAGATTAAAGAAATAAAACAAAAAAAAATTGTAAGAGTAGCTAGGAGACTGACATAAGATGTCACAACTGCAGATAGTAGGTATGGCAACATAACCCGTACTCACGGGCATCCATTCGAATTCGCCTCGAAGTTGATGGAGAAAATCCATTTTGATTAGATTTGAGTTTGGGTTTTCTCCAATTATAAAATACGGGGACGGGTCAGGTGATGGAGACATTAGTAATTTAGAATATTAAATATGTGACTAATATTTTTATATTTTGATTTGTATTTATTATTTAAACATTTGAAATGTATGTATGAAATTTTTTAAAATTATTTTATTTTATTATTTGTAATGTAATTTGATGTTGAAAAAAAATAAATTTTTCAATTAAAAAAACTAGAATTCACTAAATGGACGGTTGCAGGGCTGTGATACATGAACCTATTTGGGACGTGTTTAAGTTTTAATTCTCCATTTCCGTTTATGTTTGGGGCGGAGAACGAGGATTGTTTGGGGATTCGAGTTTGGGTTTGGGAGAGGTAAAAATCGGCCTCAACCCGCCCCGTTGCCATGCCTAGCAGGTAGGTGATTTAGCTAAGGTGGTCGGCGGCGGCGGCCTGTGGTCTGATGGTGGCAGCTCACTCGGGTGGTAGTTCGGGTTTTTCGATCATTCTGTCTAGTTTTTTTAGTTCGTGTGTTTTAGGTTTCTTTGTTTCAATTCGTGGATCCGTTCATTAGTGAGTTGTGTTTTAAGTTTGTTATGGATCTGTTGGGTTTCAAGAGTTATAAATATGTATCTCTTGCATTCTTGTTATCACAATTTTTAAAATTTTACAATTAAGATAGAGGGAAAAGGTGAGAGTCCTAGTAAGGAAAATTTTAGAGAGACAAGAGTTGAGGGAAATCTTTAAGGGTGTCTAAAGGGACTAGAAAACACTTTTAAACACCTTGGATTTGTTTGATTCATATACAAAATTGGAGAGATTGAGAAACACTTGGATAGAAAATAGAGTTTTTTCTTGGAAACTTAAGTGAATATTTTCTTGTAACTCATTTGTAATCTTTTGTAAAAACTTTTGGTAGTATAGTGAATTAGAGAACTTTTCTCTCTCCTAGAGTATCATATTTGATCGAACTACGTAAACAAATTATTGTGTATCTTGTCATTATTTTATCTCTTTATACCAAATTAAGTTGTTGACTTATTGCATAAAGAGTTATTTGTGTTACAAAACTATTTATTTTGTTTCTCATTATTCTTTGTTCTCACACATCAATTTTTTGATGTGATTGAACTTTTCAATTTCACAATATGAAGATCAAGCATTAAAAAAGTTAATCGTTGGATCTAATGAGACTAGTTAAGGATTATAAAGGTGACAAAAAGAAGAAAAATATTGCTCTAAACGTTACAGATGTCAAAGACATGAAATTAGAAGATAAAGACCGCCAAAATAAAAGTAATGAAGGCATGGATCTCATGTTTTGGAAAATTCAAGGAATTCTTAAGTCACGAAAAACATACTACAAAATTATAGAAAAATATAAAGAATGATCAACCGTCATTCGAACTTGCTTCTAGTGCATAAATAAAAGTTACAAAAAGCCCAAATATTTGTAGAATCAAAAGAGATCAAAAATATACAAAAGATCATGCAAAAAGTTAAAAAATAGCATTGCATGAGACTAAAGCGACATGAACTCCTCCAATGAATATAAAAGAGAGGAAGAATCTCAATGCTCACCAATGTCCTTGACAATCCACGAAGAAAATAAGATAAATAATCCAACTTCTGAATTTACTTAGAATAAGTTATTTTGCATTTGTAAAAAATTAGATAGTAAATCAAGTAAATTAAAAATCATGTTTCTCACTCTAAATCTAATGTTTTTTCTCTTGAAAAAGAAAATAAAAACATGTTAGTTGTATAAGGTTGTTTGGATGAACTTATTTAACAACTCAAGTTGTTTGTAAAAGGTTGTTGGGATAAACTTATGTAAAAATTCAAGTTAGTTTTAGTGGAAATATCAAGAAGAAACTCTTGGATACTAGAGTAGGCTGTATGGTTTAGGCTGAACCAGGATAATCTCTGGTGCAATATTTCTTACCCTATCTCTTTATATTTATGTCACTTATCTATTTCGTTGCTTAAGCTCAGTTTCGTTTGTTTTCTTAACATAAACCCTTTTAAAATCAAAAGTTACTATAATTTTTTTTTGAAATTCGAATATCACAATTCACCTTTTCCCCAATTGTTTTTGGAGTCATTTGATCAACACTTGTGACATGTTGAAGCAAAGGCGAGGCAAACAAAGATTTTGATATCAAGATAAATGGGAGTCGTGTCATGAAAAGTAATTCATTAGGTGATTTTGATGATAACATATGAGAGATGAATCTATTGATGATGAACATTGCATGGTTGTCTACATAGTTCTAGAAAACATTTGGTAAGTTGCATTGGAACATGATTTGCTCTTGTAACATCAAAGATATATATTTATTTTCTTTCTCAACTGCATTTTTGCTGTGGCAATGATATATTATTTGTTCAAAACGGTTCTTTTACTAAAGGTGAATGGACACAAAATCAATACTTAATGAAGATTCATGGATAATGTGAGAATCATTGTTGGAGGCAGCCTTGAACTTCCAAAGCAAAGAAACTAGTTGTTGGCACATGTCTTGGGAGATTTCTACATTATTCATCTTAATATCATCAGGGTTGCTAGAAGGTTCCAGGGATTCATTGTCATATTGATAGTGTCAACATTGTAATTATCAGTAACTTTATCCATGAAAATGCATGTGCGGATGTTTTTAAAAGCATTTAAAAGGCACTACACGATCAAATTAATGTTCAGGAAATAAAGAAATTACAAGATAATGATGAATACTAAACAACAAAATGAGAACTAATCCAATTAGATTCAAACTGAGAGGCTTGAATAAAATGTGATTAGCTAATACAACATGCAAACTAAGAAAGTAGTTTATTTTAAGGTCATAGGACAAGATTTCATACATATTTTATTTTAAACTGGTTGAATTCTTGCATAGTAAGGAGCCATTCTCCTTTAGTCAAGGCATTAGTAATATATTTTGGTTGAATATGTGAAATGAAGAATGAACAATAAAAAAAATTATGAACATAGGAATGTGTGCTTATACCCTTTTTATGTATTTTAGAATATGATCCAACAGATTATATTCTTTCTCACTGTTATTAACAAGTCATCGATATGGATCCTTCAAATAATGGTCTTTCGCAACAATCCATTCTCGAGAAAGCTTTGTTAAGATATATTGTTTGTCATCCTCCTTCTCACTTTCCTTTTCATCAAATTTAATATCCTTGTTCTTTGAAGGATCTACACGTGGAGTTTTGTCATTGACTAAATCTTCCGTTATTATTCATGAAACACCAAAATCAGACAAACTACATTTTCTCGCCTCTTGGGATTTGGTTTCATCAAAAACCACATGCGTTGAAACTTAAAAAAAAAATTATATTGTTGAAAACTGTATATGCTTTACTAGATGAAATATACCCAAGAAAAATTATCTCATTAACTTTAGCATCGAATTTACCTAACTTTTCCTAACAATTTTTTAACAAAAAATATTTGCAGCTGAAAACACGTAAGTAAGAAATATTTGGCTTTAGCTTTAAGTAAGTCATTCGGGGTTTTCTCTAAAATATATATAATGACCACTATGTTTAAGATGTGGCATACAATGTTAATCTTATCCGCCCAAAAGTACTTTGCTAGACCCGTTTCACTTATTATAGTCTGTGCTAGTTCTACAAATATCATTTTGTTGTGGAGTGTGCGAACATGAAAACTTGTGGGTTATATCGTTTTTTATTTTGCAAAATTCTTCAAAGTGTTGATTAACAAATTCACCACCATGATGACTTTTTAAAGTTGCTATTTTCAAATTAAGTTGGTTTTGGACAAGTTTGGCAAATCTGAAAAAGGCTTTAAAGGTTTCTTCCTTATGAGCTAAGAATTGAGTCCAAGTGAATCTAGTGAAATTGTCTACTATCACAAAGTCATAATAATTGCCTCCTAGATGTTTGGTTGTTGGGGGGCCAAAAAGATCTAGACGGAGAAGCTAAAGAGGTTTAGTTATGGAAACACAAAATTTTGATTTAAAAGACACAATTATTTAATTTCCCATTTGACATGCATAACATAGCTTCTCTTTTGAAAATTTTGTATGAAGTAGACCAATTACTAGATTCTTGGATCCTAACTTATTGATTAAATCAAAGTGAATCCAAATGAATGTCACAACTACGATTATTCACTTTGGGTGACTAAACATTTTGTACCACTCTTTAATACGTCATATAGGTTCATCATATACACTATGAACCCTAGAACCCACAAACATTG